TTCACACACACACACTCTCTCTCAAACACACACACACACACACACACAGACACACACATCTATAATAATACATTAATAAAAGGTGTGTATATATATATATATATATATATATATATATACACAGCACTTATTAATGTATTATTATATATGTGTGTGTCTGTGTGTGTGTGTGTGTGTGTGTATGAGAGAGAGAGTGTGTGTGTGAAGTATTTAAAACTACTGCTGTCAATTATTCATCTGTTTGTTTATTTAATAAGCTGAATTGATTAGTTTACTGCAAGTTGTTTGTTTGCTTGCTTGTTTATTGTTTTGACACATTTCTGTCGTATTGTCAACATTTTTATCATTGAGACCTAAATCCTTGCATACAATCACGTTTTTAGTTTGTACTTTGGATTTATTGTTGTTTAATTCTGTTTCATGTTTTTTGTTCCTGTTTTTTTGTTAACCTCATTTCTTCATGAAAACAAGAGGCAGTGACTTTTTATGCAGAATTAGTTGTTCACACTTCAACATGGGACGGTGTGCCTTTGTCAACAAGAAATAAAAGGCTGTTTCTTTTTTATTTTTCCAATAGTAGCTCTGTATGCTTGAGATTTTAAAATGTTGGTATAAAATGTTATATGACAGTTTGAGCTTTCATTGTAGACCTTTATGGCTCGGACATGAGGGGATAGAGAATGACACTGTGCTGTGAATGGATTTCGTATATAATTTAATGTAAAATCAAATAAAGTAAATTATGAAAATACATACTGCATATATAATGTATATATGTGTGTGTATACATTTGGGACAGCTGTGGCTGAGTGGTTAGAGCAGTCGTCCTCCAATGCAAGAGTTGGGGGTTTGATTCCAGTATGTTGAAGTGCCCCTGTGCAAGACACTGAACCTCTTGTTGCCTCTGATGTGTCCCATCAGTGTATGAATGTGATAAAGCTCTGATTACTCTCTGTAGAGATCTAGTAGAGTGCTGTATGAATGCGTAAGAGGCACAGATTGTAGTGTAAAGCACTTTATGATAGAAAGGTGTTATGTTTGGGAGTGGTGGCGCAGAGGCTAGAGATGGTGGGCTTGTGATCCGAAGATCGTTTTTAAAAATAATAATAATAATGTGGGTGGGGTAGGTGAAACACCCACACCTGCCCCCACCCTCATTTCGCCCCACTCTGGGCCCATGAGCAAGGCCCTTGACCCCCATCTGCTCCCCAAACAGGTTTTTCTTGAAAATGAGTTCTCTGGCTCAATGAGACTACCTGGATAAATAAAGGCTAAATGAAAAAAAAAGTACAGTCATTTCATA